TAGAAAAATTAGCCCAGCATGGCAGCATGTGCCTGGAGTCCCAGATACTCAGGAGCCTGAGGCAGGAAGATAGCTTGAGCCCAGCAGTTTTGAGGTTGCAGTGAGCTATGATCACACCACTGCACTCTAGCCAGGGCGACAGAGCAAGACCCTGTCTCAAAAAAAAAAAAAAAAAAAGAAGTATATTATTAATGTGAAAAAAATCAAGGTGCAGAACAGTGTATATATATAGTAAGCCATCTTTTAGCTAAGAAAAGGGGGGGTGCAAATATCTCTTGACATTTTTAAAAGTAAGCAAAAACCAACAAAAATTGTTACCCATAGGAGGAGGGAGGGATCTGGGTAGAGGGGACAGAGGTAAAAGATAGACCTCTCTGAATGTACCTTTATTTTGTAGATTTGACTTTGGAACCATGTAAATATTTTACAAAATGATATCAAAATGAAAAATAGAAAATCTCTAAAATTTGAAAGCAAAAAAAAGAACCTGTGTACCAAATGTCCAACGGTGGTGGCTTGACTACAAAAAAAGGAATTATTTCAAGGGGCACAATAATTTGACAAAAAGAACTAGAAAGAAATTCTGAGCTATGTTTCAAGAATCATCTGTTAGTAATCATATTATTTCTGAAATTATATACATAGTAAGAGAGAACAAATAAGTAATTATATTAATGTCAGGAGCTAAAATTTTCACTTAACAGGCAAGAGGTAAAAATATAAAATTGAAAGATTTAAGTAAAAACTAATTCTAAACTTGATTTGTATGTATCAATATGAACATATATATTTAAAAAAAAATATTTCCTAGCTCTGTCCACTAGAAAAGCCTTGAAATATAACCAATCCAGTACAAATGAAGACCCCTGATACCCATACTGTGGCCTCCAAATACCATTTCCCACTAAAAGAAACAAGAATTCCCTGAAGAAATGGCTGATTCCAAGTCTCAGGCAGAAAATGGACTAAATGTGCTACAAATATCTTATCAGTCCAGAACTATCAGGGCCATCTAGGGCTCTAAGGCAACTTAAAGAAGTTCCAATGGCCCAAAATGGAACAGTTTGAAAATAAATAGTATCTGCAGCAGATTGAAACATATCAAGTATGTTAAAAAATCTGAGTTCACAATGATACCAAAATAAACAAATAAATGTAAGCTGATCACTTTTTGAGGAAGGTGAAAGAACAAAGTTATTTAAAGACAGCTTCTAGCTGGGAGCAGTAGCTTATGCCTGTAATCCCAACACTTTGGAAGGCTGAGGCAGGAGGATCACTTGAGGACAGGAGTCCAAGAACAGCCTGGGCAAGATGGTGAGACCCCCATCTCTACAAAAAATAGGAAAAATTAGCTGGGCATGGTGGTGTGCACCTGTAGTCCCAGCTACTCAGGGGGCTGAAGCAGGAAGATTGCTTGAGCCTGAGAGTTGGAAGTTACAGTGAGCTATGATTACGCCACTGTACTCCAGCCTGGGCTACAGAGTGAGACCCTGTCTCACAATAAGAATAAAAATAAAAATAAAGACAGCTCCTTAGGTCTTGGTGCCCTGGCTTCCAGCTGCCATAAAATTCACATTTTTGCCTCAAGCCTCAAAACAGATATTTAAGCCTCAAATAGGGGGCAAACTAAGGTTACCCTACTATCTTAATGGAATGGAATATCAGTACCAGTAACAGGGAAAGGACACAAAGGTATAAAAAATATTGAAAACAGGCCAGTGTAAAGTACTATTATTTTTTTAGTTTGTTTTTGTTTTTCATATCTTCTTGTATATGCCCGAAAGGTACTACGAAAGGCATCTGGCCTGTATTTGAGTACCTACTGGATTGGATTTTAGGTGCTGTACAGATTTTACAGGGAGGAGGAATTCGTCTGGATAGATGTGGAAGGTAGAAATTTGCCCAACAGCAGCCGGAAGGGCTAGAAACTTGGGTAATACTGCAAAGAGGTATTCATTTACCAAACATTTGGTGAGCACCCACTATGTGTATGAATCTGTGTTAAGCGTGAGAGTACAAAGTTAAATAATACACAGCTACCACCTCCACGGTCTAGCATGGGAAGCACCACCAAACAACGTGATAAGGTGTAACAAGTGCTCCATCAGGAGATATGCAATGGAGATACAGGAGTACAGGGGAGGGAAGCTCTAATCAGACAGAGGAGTCAGATACAGTTTTCTACAGGATCTGATGCCTAAAATGAATCTTAGAGAGTTAGCAGAAGCCAGATGAAGGCATTCTAGATAGACAGGACAGCCCCAGGCAGAACTGAGATAGCAGGGCAATACGCAGGTTAACGCTAGTGAGGCTGTGGCAGAAGATTAGGCTAGGGATCTTATCATAAAGATCCTTAAGTGCAAAAGGTAAGGAATTTAAACTTCATTCCAAAAGCTACTGGGCAGCTACTGCAGAATTTTAAGCAACAGAGTGGCATAATCTTACTTGCATTTTAAGAATGGCTCTGGCTGCTGTGCAGAGAATACACTGAGAGATGGGGCTGGGATCTGTGAGACCAGTTTGGAGGCTACCACAGTAGTCTAGGCGAGAGAAGACAGGAGCTGGGACTAGAGTGGTGGCAGTGAAAGAAACTGAGAGAAGTATGTGGACCCAAGATATGTCTAGAAAGTAAAACCTTCAAGACTTGGAGGTTGATTAGATGTGGCTGAGGAGGAAGGGGAAATTAAAATGGAGGAGTCTAGGATGACACGTTTCTAGTATATGGTAGTACCGTTAACTAAGGTGAGAAAAAAAGAAATACATTTGGGAAGGGAAGAGGGTAAGTTTAGGGCAGTGGTTCTCAACTGGGGACAACTGTATTCCCCAGGGGACATCTGGCAATCTCTGGAGACATTTTTGGTTGTTACAGCTAACGGCATCTAGTGGGTAGAAGCCAACGATACTGCCAAACATTCTATGATGCACTTAACAACCCTCCCCCACAACGCAAAAATTATCCAACCCAAAATGGCAATAGTGTGATGGTTGAGAAAATCTGATCTGGGACAATGTTGATTTCAAGAGCTCTGCATCACAACTAAGTGAGGTCATTCAGTAGCCTTTTGGAAACACACCTCCCAAAGCTCAAGAGGGCGCCAGAACGCAAATATAAGTTTAGGAGTCGTCAATTTATAAGTGGCCATTCAAGTCATCAGCAGTAATTGGATGGGGTCTCCCATGAGTACGTTCAGAAAGAAGAAGGCCAAGGACAGAGTCCTGGAGGATACCAACATTTATAGTGAGAAAGAAGAGAAAAAGTCCCATAAGAAAGACTAAGAAGTAGCCAGCAAGATCCAAAGAAAAACTATCAGAGAATGATATCCCAGAAATCAAATGAAGGCAGTGTTTCAAGAGGAAAATAAGAATAATAAGCGGTGCCGCAGGCAGAGAAAATGTAAGTTGGGAACAGAAAGTTTCCATTGGATGTGGCAAATAGAAGTCACTGATGACTTTGATAAGATCAATTTCTAGCTGGGCACAGTGGCTCTAACCTGTAATCCCAGCACTTTGGGGAGCCGAGGTGGGAGGACTGCTTGAGGCCAGGAGTTTGACACCAGCCTGGGCAACAAAACAAGGCCCCATCTGTACAAAAAATGTTAAAATTAGCCAGGTGTGGTGGCACGTGCCTGTAGTCCCAGCTACTCGGGAAACTGAGGCAGGAGGATCACTTGAGCTAAGGAGTTGGAGGCTGCTGTGAGCTATGATCATGCCACTGCACGCCAGCCTAGGTGACAAGAGGGAGATTGTGTCTCAAAAAAATTTAAAAAGATCAATTTCTATAGAGTGTTGGGGGCAGAAGAACCACCAGATTTTCTTAAAGATAGGAGATATTTAATATTCTTATGACCTGAAAGAGCTGATAGAGGTGGGGGAGGAGGTAAAGAAACAGAAGAAAGAGGGTATGTAATGAAGGAGCAAGGATACCAGAAAGTAGGAGATGAGTCCAGACAGGAAGAATGATAAGCCTTGGACAAAGGGAGGACCAGTCACCTCCTTCGCTGAGACAAGGTGGCGGGGGGAAGGAGGGATAAGATTTCAGTGAAATTTGTAGATGGTAGGAAAAACAGCTAATGGAGTTGTCATCTAATGGCCTTAATTTTCCAGTGAAGAACAAGGCATGATCATCTACCAAGAGCAAGAGCAAAGGTGATGGGGTAGGAAATTTGAGGAGAGGTAAGAGTTTAGAATAGTAACTGAAAAGAATAGGAGAAGAAGCTGACAAGGGCCATGGAGGAAGATTTCTAGAGAATGATCCAACAAAGAGAGCTGTGTCCTAGCAGGGACATTCCACAGGTCAAGATGTGTCCTATCAGAAGACAGCACCCAAGTGTCAGAAACCTGAATCACTAGGAGAGTGGGTGCTGGTAAGAACAAGAGAGTCAGTTGGGATTTCTGCTCAGTTTTCACTAGTAAGGCTTTGGCCTTTTTTTTTTTTTTTTTTAAGTTCCATGAGAATAGGCACCATGTCTACTGACATGCTAAGTCACCATAGCCCCAGTACCCAGCACCTAGCACAGTGCCCAAAACACATAGTAGGCACTCAACAAATATTGAGTACATGAAATAGAATGATAGAAAAATGTCTCAGAGGCCAATCTCATAATGTAGATACCTTACCAGCACCCCTACATCTCGTATTTCTCAGTTCTGTCCTGCTAAAAACACTAGCCTTCCAAATATTTTGGAAATCTAACACTTGCTGTAGTGGCCGCATCGATATCTCTCTTTCCTGATACTTCCCTATTATTAAAGTCCTTTCTTGGATGCCTGATGTTTACAATGATGGACGCAGTTCTCTCTCCTCCTCTCCACCCTTACTGAAATGAAACACTAGCAATGTTCTCTCCAAGTGAAGAGGTACACTTCCAGTACAGAGCTCCTCCTACCCTCTAGCACTAAAAGTGGCTCCATTACTAAAATGTCAGGGACAGTGCTGTTATAAGACTGTTATAAGACTACAATGCCCCGGGTCATCCTCAGCCAGCCCTGTTCCTTTTTACCTGTGCCACTTGATTGTGTTTCTCAGGGATGTTTTTCAGATGCTTAGATTGTACACAAACGATGTTCCCATCTACGGAAAGAAAAAGAATTAATTTATACGGTTTTAGTCCTAAAGGATTATTTAAAAGAAAATGTCTGGCCTTTCAAATTCTCTCCTTCAAAGAGGCATATGTAGATATGAAGAAGCAAAGTGCCTAATTTAAGCTCACAGCCATTTTTCAGAGAAAACCTAATTGTTTCCTGGTCTACCCATTAAGCAGCTAATTCTTAATGGAGCAAGTCCTCAATATTTTCTCTCATGCCACAAATGCGCAATATGCCAACGTCCGCTTTCTGTTCAGATTTTAAGAGGGAAATAAAATGTAATGGGTTTTGTTTTTCTATTACTAAATAATAGAACACTGACGTCACATACTCATTTAATTCAGCACACAAGAGGGAAAAAAGCCAAGTGCCTGCCCTAACGAACTGTAGTTTAAGGCATATGGATATTAAACAGTGTGACTAATATAAAATGATGGTGTTTCAAGTGGATTTATTGAAAACGGGCAAATGGAAAGCTCAGGGATGGAATCTGGGAATGGATACTGGAATTAAGTCTCAGAAATATGCCATTGTGATTTTCCCTCACCAGTATGCACCACCCCTTTCAATTTTTTACGGCAGATTTACCACAGAAAGCTCTAGTTTCCAGGTATATGGGGATGTGAAATAGAAAAGACGAGGAGACTGCTCCCAGTATGGAGAGTAGCATAAAATGATGATGATGATAATGAGACAGAAGCAGCAACAATGCTAACATTTACTAAGTGTTTACTAGCTATCAGGCGTATAGCTTTTAGAGTAAAAAAGGGCAGGGGTTGTGATTTCTATCACTTTGTTATAATGATTACCCATCAAAAAGTATCCACAATCAACCTTGTGATCATGTTCTGCATCAAAGACTTCCAATTCAACCTTCTTCTTTAAGAACACCATTATTTTCCACTCCTGCTGACACTGTTCTCTGTACCCTTCTCTTCCTCCCAGTCCTTGGTCTGTCACAGCCTTCAACTGACCTCTCCGAGTTCCCAGGTAGTACCCCACAGTCTTTGGATTGCCATCTGGACCTCGGTTCACAGAGAAGGTGGACTTGTTTCGGTAGCCACTGATGACAGGCTGGAGAAGGCAAAGGACAGGAGACGGGACAAGAGGTGAAATGAAACCAAGGAGGAAAACAATAAAGAGAAAGCAGGAATGTTCTCTGGATGAGGATAAATGATGCTTTCTTGGAAGATATGGCATATGTGAAAGTCTGTGGCTGAGAAGATCAAGACACTCCATAGTGGAAAGGAGTTCCAATATTGCCATAAAGCAGGAGTCAGCAAATTTCTTCTGTCAAGGGCCAGAGAGTAAATATTTCAGTTTTTGCAGGCTATATGGTCCCTGCTGCAATACTCAACTCTGCCATTGTAGTGTGAAAGCAGCCACAGACAATACATAAACAAGTGAGTTTGGCTGTGTTCCAATAAAACGTTATTTACAAAATCAGGTGGCAAGGCAACTTTGGCCTAAGGGCCGTAGTTTGCCAATCCCAGCCATAAATGAAATCCTGCCTCTCTGAGGCCTCATTAAAAAGGTTTCCACAGTCTGGAATCTAAGGAGGTAAGTAGAGTGGTTGATAAAGTAGACTCTGTACCAGATAGATCTGAGTGGAATCTCAGCTCTGGCATTTTCTAGAAGTGTGTCCTGGGCAAATTACTTAATCTCTCTGGGACTCTCTGTCTTCATCTATAAAATGATAGTACTTACCCATCTCGGTTACTGTAAACAGTAAAATGAGACAATGATGCATGATAATCACTTAGCATAGGGCCTGGTACCTAGCAAGTGCCCAGTAAATACTGGCTGATATTATTAGCCATTAAGGGGATTTAGTAGATAAGGAATAGGGAGGTAGGGGCTTACAGAGGGTATAATAGGATGGAGAAGACAATGGAGCCCCTCGAAGTTGGGTGCAGCTGTTGTCACGTTGACTCCATTGAGCATTTGGATGTGAGACTCTAGTCTTTGTAAAATTTTCTTCTGAGCTTCAAATTTCACCTGCAAAAACATATATAAGCAATGAAACAAAATACTTTTGTAGTTTCACCTCAAAGAATGGAAAACAAACAGGACAAAAGAAGGGTGTCCCACAGATTCTTAGCTCATGGTCTCAGCAGATAAGGAACCCATAATGATGGAACAGGAACAGACCTAATCAGGCATGAGGAAAGGTCAAGAGTGAGCTCTTATAGTAGTAAGCCCATCATTTTATCTGATCTTTCAGACTAAATACTCGAGGTGTATGTCAGTGTTGTCCAGTAGAACTTTCCATAACGAAAATGTTCTATGTCTGCCCTGTTCTATATAAATGTAGGCACTAGCCACATGTGGCTACTGACCATGTGAAATGCTGGTTAGTAGGACTCAGGCACTGAATTTTTAATCTTCTTCAATTTCAATTAACTTACAGAGTCAGCTCTGCTAAAATGTGACATAAGTGTTCCTATATCACATTATGCAAAATCACATTAAAAAAATCACAAGGCTCATGGGAAAAATGGGATTAGGCACACAATATTCCAAAACATTATCAGTAACATCCACAAAAAAGATAGGAACCTAATAAAAATAGTAGCACCATTTTACACACGTCAAATGGTTAAGAAATATGAATACTACAATAAGGATGGCACTTTACCCTGACAAAGACCTGAAGTTTGCTTGTAGAAGCAGGTGTCAGAGTGACTGCAGTTTGGAGTTATCATGAAGTGGTAAAAGGAGGGTTATGTGAGTTGAATGTAAAGTCCTTCCAGGCTCACGTCTACAATCCTAGCACTTTGGGAGGCTGAGGCGGGAGGATTGCTTGAGGCCAGAAGTCTGAGACCAGCCTGGGCGACATAGTGAGACACTATCTCTAAAAAACAATATAAAAATTAGCCAGGCATGACAGCTTGTGCCTGTAGTCCCAGCTACTCAGGAGGCTGAGGCAGGAAGATCACCTGACCTCCAGAGTCTGAGGTTGCAGTAAGCTATGATGACACCACCGCACTCTAGCCTGGGCAACAGAGCAAGACTGTCTCAAAAAAGGGAAACAAAGAAAAGAAAAGTTCTAACACCAGATGCAGATGGCTGGGTGTGGCTTATAACACGCTTGGGGAACTGAGGAAACCGATAGATGTTTGAGGTGTGTGTGCGCATTCATTTTATGTGTTCTTACGTAGCTTGGTTCAACTGAGTGCAGTTTCCTTCTTTTATCTAGTATTTCTCATGGATGAAATCACTCCTAAGCAAACGTGAAATTTGCATTATGCTCAAATTTTCCCTAATATGTCAATCCGTCGGAACAAATTTCTGCTTCAAAATAAGCATTATAACAGAATTGACTGTATTCAAATTTAAATAGCCACATGTGGCTAGTGGTACTGTGTTGGAAAGTACAGCTATATATGAAACAGCAAGAGCACTGCTACTCACATAAACAGAGCTATAAGAATAGCAACAACAACAACAACAACAAAAAGCCAGGGAGAAAGGAAATAAGCATTTGGACCTATGGATCTAGAGAGTGGAAGATATAATTGGCCTAAAGTTCAAATTTCAGAGTCATTAGCATATAGAGTTTAAACTGCTCAGGCATCTGGGTAGAACTATCCAGTCAAACTTCTACAAGTCTAGCACCATTCCCCTGCTGGAGAGAAGGGGTGAAGACTTAAGCTGGACACCTACTTTGAGCTGTTCTTCATAGCTCATCCTCCAGAGTGGTGTCACAACATCAGCCAGCCTTGAATAAAATAATTCAGGCACTTCATTAATTATACAAACATGTACTGAGCGCCTACTATGCATAAGTACTTCCTGCCACCATTTTCTCTGGCATTTTACTCATCTATTATTCAGAACACCTAACTCTCATGCCCCTAGGGAGATGGAGTCTGGGAGAAGAGCCCATTTTGGTGTTGTGTACTTAACAAAGCAGACCAGATGGGCAAACCTAATATAAGAAAAATCCAGATTTATCAGGAGGTAATTAATCATATTACAAAAGGCTTCACTGTTGGGTTCCTTTAAATAGCTCACCTTCCTAATGCTTTTAAAATATAATTTGATTTAGAAAATACATTTCTGGCATAAAATGTGGTGTATTTGTGCTTCTATGGCTGCAGTGGGGACTATTCATCTATAACCCATCTAATATTCTGGGTCCCTGGTTTTCAGCATACCTGCCCTGGACTTTTTTAAAGACAAGATCCCAGTTTAATATCTTCTTTCTGACAAAAAACACTCACAGACAAGGAGAGTATTTTCTGCAATCCCAAAGCATTTCCACCAATATTCTTCAGATATCCTCAAGTTTGCCCTGGGTATCCTACCCCAGGTGCCCCTTAGAATCCTTGTAATGCCACATTAGTTATATTAGGAACACAGAGTTTCAGTAGACCCACAGATTCAGACTTGCTAAGGAGAAAGGACATCAGCCTGGGCCTTACCTTTCCTGCCAGGAACCATCTAGTGGTCCAAGATGGCTTGGTTCCTTCTGACTTTTTTGTCCTTTTTGACACTTCTTGGCTATCATATGGGTGAAATTTCCCTTACATGCTGTGCTCAAAAAGAGCTGTGACCAACCTGGTGGTTTTCTGGCACACCAGGGAAACAGCCCTGGTTCGGAGAAGAAACCCACCATAGAGAGGAAGCATCTCAATCTGTGCACTGGGACTTTTCTCTTAATGCCTGCCATCCACAGACACCACTGAAATTCACCTGCATGAAAGGTAGACATACAGAAGTTGGGAAATGGAGGCACAACTCCCAAACCCCCTCATTCATTTACAAACCCTTATGGAACTCCAGCACCTAGCACAGTGCTGGTACACGGTACACAGTAAAAGTAGGCCTGTTAACAGAACTGAATTACTGCATGCAAGGCACTGTCTTAGGCTTCCCAAATAGAGAGATAAGAAAAATATAGTCTTTGCCCTCCAGAAAAGAGTTCAACTCTTTGAACATACTTCTGTGACCAATCTTTTTCCCTATTCCACTCTGCCACCCAACAGCCAATCAATCAACTAATATTTAATAAGTGCTTACTATGTGCAAGACACCATGCCACACTAGATACTGGAGGGGTTACAAAGGCTACAATCTAAATGAGGAGATTAATTGCCAACACAGGAAAGACATTAGTAAATAACACAATACGCTTGATACCTGATGAGTACTCAGGAAAGGCGGTAGAGCAGGTAGGCCTGGCACCAGGTCTTAAAGGATGGCAGGGAGGTAAATTAGATGTTTGGAGGACAGTGGGTAGACTCGTCTGACTAAAAGCAAGTTCACATTTGAGCTATGCTGAATTTGAAATGGTAGGGAAATATCCGAATGGAAATGTCTAACAAGTAAGTACAGAAGCAGTACAAGAAGTCAGGGCTAGAGATTTGTTGGAGTGTCTACAAGTACAAGCTGTAAAATAAAAAGAAACCTTTGAGTAAAGAAAAGAGCAAAAGGCCCATGACTAAACTTGGTGGAAAGGTAACATTTACAGGGCAAGAAGAGATGATGTTGGTGTCTCAGAAGGAGAGCCAGGAGAGTGTGGAGCCATGGAAGCCAAGGGAGATGCCTTTGATGAAGGCACTGACGCATCAGTAAGTCTGAGGCAAAAGAAAGAAGGAAAAGAAGGCAATGGAAAATATCAAGCAGTAGGGACAAATGAAGGCTTTGAGATTTTAGGAGTGTAGGCCCTAGAGTCAGACAGCCAGACCTGACCTGGGTGGTCCACTGGCCCCACCACTTCCTAGCTAGGTGGCCTTTAGCAAGTTAATCATTCCCTCTGACCTTCCTTTTTTTCACTTGTAAAAGGAAGCTAACAATACTACCTACCTCATATAGTGGTTTTAAGAGTTAAAGAAAAATAATTAATAAAAAGTACTTAGCAGAAGAATAGAGATGATGTTTGTAAATCAATGTCCAGTATCTGGCAAAAGCTCTTTGGTAAGCATTAATAACCATCATGATGTGTTTAAAGACAGTATAGTTGGGCTCAGTGGCTCATGTCTGTAATCCCAACATTGTGGGAGGCCAAGGTGGGAGAATCACTTGAAGTTAGGAGTTTGAGACCAGCCTAGGCAACATAGAAAGACCCTATCTCTAAAAAAAAAATTAGCCTGTACCACCCCACCACCCAGCTACTCAGGAGGCTGAGGCAGGAGGATCACTTGAGCCCAGGAGTTTGAGGTTACAGTGTACGGTGGCTCATGCCTGTAATCCCAGCTACTAAGGAGGCTGAGGTGGGAGGATTACTTGAGCCCAGGACTTGGAGGCTGCAGTGAGCTATGATCACGCCACTGCACTCCAGCCTGGGCAATAGGGCGAGACTCTATCTCTAAAAAAATAAAACATAAAATTCAATGTATGCAATGGATTTATTAACAAAGTTTCCTCCATGGCTCCCTCTACTACTGCTAAATTAGTATGCCATGATCAATGGGTAACCTAGAGGATGCTGACATGGATGCTATAATATTTAGCTTATATAGCATTTCATATGATTACAAAGTACTAACAAAAGTAACTGTCATAGCATGTGATCATTTTGGGGAGGCTTTCAAATTTCTAACAGAATATATGTAAGCTGGCCAAGAGTTCAGGAGTGAACAATAGCACCTTCAGCCCACCCCCCCAGCAAAAGGCAGTAAGTCGTCACAGTTAAGAACATAGGCTTTGGAGCCAAATTCTAATCCCAGCTCTATTTCTCACTAGCTATGTGGCTCTGGGCAAGTTACTTAAACGCTATGAATCTCAGTGTCACCATCTATACAAACAGGACTGATAACACTTACCTTTCAGGGTTGTGGTGAGAATTAAATGAATTTTTATTTATATATATATATAAAGTGCTCAGGACTGTGCTTAACACAGCAAGTATTCAAAATGTGTCACTGCCCTTCCTTAGGCTCTGATTCAAAGCCATGTCACTTAGCTTCTTCCTGCATCAATGCCTCCAACCTGTAAAACTGGCAAGATGTAACAATGCATGTAAGTGCTGCGAGGATAAGTACAATTATGTGGGAAATTTTAAAAACAATACATACACACACACTCACACAAACTTTCCTGACCCTCTGCATGAGTGCCTGCTGGAGTGTGGTGAGGTTACAGCCTGCTCTGGACCACCTGTTAATACTATCAAAAGTGTGTGGCCTGAGATTGACATTTTTCCAAAGTGGAAGAAATGTATGTATTTGATATAGAGAAGAGCAAATGCCAGAGAGAGGAAATGAGTGAAGAGGCAGGAGACAAAGCATAAAGAATGATTTGGTGGGGCTGAGGAGGCTCAAGGCCTTGAAGCCTAGTCTATAAGGGGAGGGAGTGATGCCGGTCCAGGAGAGGGACCCTGTCCCTCCAGGCAGTAGGGAAGTTAGAAGGATGAAGGAAGCTGCAGGCCCATTTGGGGGTTGGCACAGGAGGGACAGGGAAGCTGAGGAATTTGAAGATAGCTATCCCTACCTGGTGACATTTAGACATTTTTGTATGTAAGTCCTCTCACTGGTGACTGACACCGTGACTGTGGTTCACTTGCCCTGTACCCCAACAGGAGGGTTCTTGTCCCTCTAGGTCTCTTCCTCCAAATTATCAAATATGGTCTAAAATAGGACCTTACTATTTCAGGGTGCCAACTAGCCATCACTCTGGGTGAAGAGCCTTTCATATTTAGTAACTTCTGCAGGGAAATGTCTTTTTCAAGGCAGCATAGTAATAGGAGTCAAGGTGAGTTCTGTTTCTTTGTTTCCTAATGTCAGAGGGGGCATTTGTTCACAGAAAAGACTATTTTCTTTTTATATTTTTTTCTGTTTTAAACGAATGATTGTTTTTTTCTTTGCAAAAGAAAAGAAAAATGTGTGGCAACTGCTCAACTGCTCTATACCTGCCTCAGGAATTGACTGGAAAGGGCCCCAGAGTCCAGCGTAGCCTGATAGGAAGGTAAAATAACTCTCCAGGGTTTCAATGAATAACCTGCCTCAAGTGCTCAGAGAGGTTCAAATCAGAGAGACTATGTGGTAGGTCCGCGCAGGACCAAGGATCCCCTTGTTGCAAAATGTTCACCCACAACGGCCCTGCTTGCCCTCTCTGTTCACCTTTCCTTCAGCTGGCCAGGCCTCAGACACGGTTCCTTGCTAAACCAGCCAGTTCCTTGCTAAACTAGACGGGCAGATGGGTTGACTGCTGTGTCCCGACTGCAAACCACGTGCAGTGAGGTCCTTCCTTCCCCAACCAGACTCTTCCATTCCCCTTTCTTTGGACAAGTCCGGCCCACCGTGTTAACCGTAGGAAGGGTCATTAACAAAAGGGAGACGCTAGGAAAGACTACCACTCAACTTGGGCAGGCTGCAGGGCCAGGGGAAGCCAAAAATTCGGGGGGAGGGAGTTAGAACACAGGAGGACGCTGGGCTGGAACGCGACCTTGTGCAGCCACCGTCGGATCCCGTCGCCAGCCCCGCCTGACTTCTCAATTCCCCGCCCCGTGGGCAGTTTGGCGCAATAAGCAGTTTTGTATTGCAAGGGTTAAATCGGGATTTCCGGGTTATTCGCCCCCCACCTTACCTTCCTCGGTAACCAATAAATCCTCTTACAAAGCTGAGGCGGCAAACCAAAAGACCAGCGGACGGCCTGGTTTGCTGTGGCGGGGAAGTCACTTCCTGGTGCGCCGGACGCCTCTACCCCCGCCGCACGCGCAGTCAGCCCGGGGCAGGCGCGGCGGGACGCGGGGCTCCTCCCAGCGCCGGCGGGACACCTGGCCCTGGCGGCTGGACTCCTCTCCAGAGCACCCTCTCTTCTTTGCCCGGAGGCTCTTTTGAAACCTTCCTCAAAAGCACTCATACCCCTATTGCCCGCCGCCTTCGTTCTTCAAGTTCTCCTCGGCTCCCCACAACCCCGCCCACCGCCGCCTCATTTCTCACCGTCCCATTGGTGGATCTGGATAAAACTCGAAAACATCATAAGAAAATCGCACTACGGTGTTAACAGTGTTACCCATCCCAGGGGTGCTTGCAGTTCAACTCTTCCAACCCAAAGAATGGTTTTCTAATGGTGGCATTTCAGGCATCAAGTGCATAACTGATTAGAAGATTGGGAGATGAGGGGCAGGGTGGTTTCCCGAAATGGCATCCTTTGGTAAAAGTCAGCTCTACTCTGGACTGTAGAGTTTTTCAGGCATTCGTCCTCCATCTATTTTATATTGCATCAGAAAAGTATTTTGTTATCATGGCAAGGTAAACCTGATTTCTTCACTGGATCCCATTCAAGGCTATTAAATTCTAAACCTCAGAGAAATATATATATATATATATTTTTTTTTTTTCCTCTTCAACTACAGAGCTCAGAAGGAGGCCAGATACCGCTAACTCATTCACATGCTCCTGGACTACATTCAGTAATTCCTCGAATTTTTAGAGGAGTCATTAGCCCAGTCAAATGAATAAGAGAACAATGAAGGATACATACATATGTGTCTGTAAAAAAATTGTTGATTTTTCATAGAATACAATTTATGGCAAAGTGAACCTACATTAAATGACATTTAATTTTTATGCTTATTATTAATTAGGCTTAAAATGGAAAGCACCTTATAGTCAACATTTCATTTCATTTTATTTTTTTTTTAAGAGAGAATCTCACTTCATCACCCAGGCTAGAGTGTTGTGGTGCCATCATAGCTCACTGCAGCCTCGAATTCCTGGATTCAGGCAATACTCCCACCTGAGCCTCCAGAAGAGCTGGGACTACAGGCCCAGGCAACTATGCTCCACTAATTTTTTTATTTTTTGTAGAAACAGGAGTCTCACTGTGTTGCCAAGGCTGGTCTTGAACTCCTGGCATCAAACGATCCTCCTGCCTTGGGAGGGATTATAGGCATGAGCCACTGTGCTGCCCAGCTCATTTATTTACTTATTTAAAGCATAACATGCCTGTTATGTGCAAGGCAATGCATCAGCCCTAGTGAGTACAGCAGTAAATTAAACAGGGCCCAATACCTCAAATAACAGCAAACATTGAGTCAGCCAGACCAAGTTACAAAGCCCAGATCTGCCACTTATAAGCTGGGTGCACTTGAGCGTGTTATTTAATTGCTCAGTGCCTCAGTTTCCTCATCTGGAATAAAGTACCACTGACGGCTTCAGGTTTCTAGGTCCGCACAGTGCTGTCAAGTGAGACCAGGCCAGAAAATGC